AATAATGCCGCTACGTACCATACAAATCTTTGGAGTTAAATAATATATCTTTATTATGCAAAAAAAATATTATATATTTATTTGATAAACACCTTTTGTATTTTGAAAGACATGATAAATAATTGATGGAAAGAAAATAAGTGAATCTTGCACACATTTTTTATCATATCTTTCAAAATGTAAAATGCTGTGGAATATCTCAATCCGAAAATCTTGTGTTCCTAACCACAAAAATTATTCCTTTCTATCGCCTGATATACAATTGTATAGCAAGCAAAGCATATTGACTTGAGCAAATGTGACGATTCTTTCAATTATTTATTTGGATCTTAAGATTTTTGGGGTCATTTCCACCATGTTGAGCAGTGTATATCTGATATCTGCAAGAGAAAATAGGGGAAAATAAAGCAATTGAATGACTAGTGTCACATGGTGATTTTGGGGATGTGATCCTTATTCTTGTCATTTTGGTATGTTTGTTTTATATATTATTTAAGTTATATATATTTATATATAGTCCCTCTTGCCTTTATGTTTTTCTGAACAGGAACAGCAAGTTGGGTTAATTTAGCAATTATTCTTCTGGGAATACCAACATTATCATGTGAAATTCTAACATAGATATGTTATATGGTAGGATCTCAATAATATATGGTACTTTGAATGATGTCTATTCAAGAATGTTTGTTCAATTAAAAAGATAATAATTGGAGTCCAGTTTCTTTTGAAAAGAATAGAGGGAAAATCGCAGAATTGAAGTTCCAATTTTTATTGGATCAAGACAGATATATATGCTTGTAGATGTCTTTGTTTTAGTTTCAAAACTGATTTAGAAGAAAGCACAGTTTGAATAATGTTTGAGATGAAATAAAAAGTAATTAAAAAAAGGGAAATTTTTTGGGGGGAAAAGTATGGAAAAATGAGACCAGATAGTTAGGGGTAAAAAGGAAGATGAAGAAAGCATATAAATGAAGAAAAGAGGAGGGAAAAAAAAGATGTGTGATAATATAACAGAGTTTTTATTTTCCATCATTATAGTTTATTTAAAAGGCTAAATCTATTTATATCATGCCGTTAAAATCCAATTTGCATTAGTTCATCATACAGTGAATCAGTAAAAGTCTCATTATCAATCTAACCCAAAGTATATTGGACAAATCAACTTGATTGGATTTTATATTTTTATTCTCCTCTTACTAAACTTGAAATGATGCTGTTTTGAGTTTTAAAAAAAATAGTCGTCAAATATGTGCTCTAGTAACTATGTTCTCTTGGATCAAATATGATTAGTGTTTTATACCAGAACTCCTTTCAATACACCAAAGGGTGCAAATATCGTGAGACGTTGGCTTGTCTCAATGCCTCGTAGTGACGTTATCTCTTAAAAGCATATCTGCAAGTTCCTTCGTATGATACAACTTTGTGAAAAATAAACACATGCTCCGAAGCATCCATATGTGGAAGGGACATGGTTGGTACAGCAAGGATTTTCAGTTTTGAGCTAACTCAGATCTACTGACAATAATGGGAGACTACAATCAGATACAAGATTGTTTTAGTTTCCGTGATGTTATTTGTCTCTTTTCTGTTCTTATTATGTTAGTTTTATCACTTGTCTTTGTTGTTTGTTGTTTTGTTCTGCTTTCTTGTTTCTATCGTGTTAGGCCGACCTTCTCATTTGATTCATTTGAGCTTTGCTCAAATTGACTTGATGTAACTAACCGACCTTTTTATGTAATCATTTTATTTGATGTTTGAATAAAATTAACAGTTTATAAAATCTATGAACACTATTTTATATATTTTAATTAATTGTATGTATTACTACCTCTAGTCCTTAAGATAAGATCTAAATATAAAACCTCAATCTATTTTGTCTCATATTTATACTTTTTTTTTCCAAAGTAGCCCCTTCTAATAATGATAGTTCTAGTCAACACACTTAATTAGCAATGATATTTTAGAAAAGACAACACCTATTTAAAACAAATAACTAACTCAACTTATTTTCTTAATCTCCTCAAATTAGTCAACTGGCTTTTATAATTAGGACCGGAGGTAGTAAAAAGTATGATTGAATTAAGCTGAATTTAATCATATTAGGCCACTCAACTTTAGATCATTACCCCAACCAATTTAATGACTGGTTTAATTTTTAGTATCTTTATCTATCTATAATCACATATGTCCGTATATTATTATTAGCCGGAACTTCCATGTATCAGCACATATGGCTCAATCTACATAGATTAATTTGATAAAAAAAAATCTACATAAATAATAATAATTGCATTCATTATTAAGAATTCATACACACACAAATTAAATAGTTTAATTATTTAAGATACAGATAGCGGATCAATGAAATTAATTTGTTAACAATGGGATGAATCTTTGTATACATTGAACCTGCTCTAATTAAATTTTTTTAGAAAAATCAACATGTACTGCAGTACTAGATACATATAAATTTCACAAAATCAAGAGGAATATTTGCCCCTCGTTACAATGCAGCTTTATGAATTTGCTTTAAAAAAATCAACTTTATTACTAATAATATAATATGACATACATATTTGTTTAACAAGATCAACTTCTAAATTCTAATATGTTTATACATATTTAAATTACAATTATAACTTGTTTGGAAAAAAAATCATAAAACATCTATTTTCTAAAAGAAATACATCCGTATCATACATGCATATACTGTTCTTGTCATACTCCAGCTATATTTCATGATTACATACTTTCGATTATTGATCGAATCTCTTTAGATGACAAGTGCCACTGTGTGATTTATATAAATTCTGAGTTGTGATGTGGAAATCATTTTAAAAAAATATTAGAAAAGAAAAAATTGGGTTAGCCAGATCAGATGTAACCTCCTCGGATCTTCCTAATCCCTTTATTTAATATAAGTCATTCAATTCTTATTACAATAAGTACATAAATTGCTGAAATCAATTAAAATGAATTATTTTTGTAAAATATCAAAATTACCTTCAATAAAAATTTTTAATTATAGGAATTTGATTAATTAGTTACGGATATTAAATAAAAAATTAATATTTTAGACAAAATATACAATATTATGTAATATGCTGGAAGTTCTTAAAATAATAAGAGGATGGAATAAGTAATTATATTTTATTTTCCCTTATTAATACGTCCATTACTATTTGCCATTGGACGTCTGAAGAATTCGATTCTTTTTTCTTCTTTTTTTTTTTTTTTCATGTCACTAAAAGATGCGGTCAAGCATTTTTGTATATATATTCACGTGTTGTGGAGATGTTGTGGCCATTATTTTAGTCAAGCATATATTTTATATTCAGCAATATCTAAACATATTATATGTATTAAACAAAATTTAGGAAACCAATCATATTATTTTTTGCCGTTTATAAATAATGGCACTTATTAAAATTTTGGGATGTATTCTAATGTATTGATTATATGTTTTTATGTATGGAAAGAAATAATAACTTGAAAAATCATAATAGTAAAAAAGAATTAAAAGTAACAAATTTTGTGTATATTTCTTATATTTCTAAGATTTTTATTAATAAATTTGAGGTTTATATTTAATGATACAATCAATTTCAATATAAATATATTAATCAATCATCAAAATTTTATGCAGTTTCCTCTCTTTACAAAAGTTGTAAGGAGTGCGAATTATTCATCAAATTCTGCATGTTAAAAGAAATAATTCTCAGTTAAATAATATCCAATGAAGACAAGAAAGTTATGGAAATTGGAATCACTTCCTTTTTCTATAACAAAAGCCATAATGAATCACTTTTCTTCAAATGGCGATCACCACCATATATTAAAAGTGATTTTGGCATATTGGTTGGATGTCTAAATCGCTTTTATTTTTTTTAATTTTGAATTTCCTTTTCTCTTTTCATGAATATAAAGAGGATTTAGATCATTGAGGAACATCTTTTAATTCCCTTCTAATTAAGTCAACTAATTATACTGTTACACTCATAATTCTATGGTTGCAACATAAACATGATTTGATAGTAACTTTATTCGAAAAAATAATTTTAATAAGTTTATAACTATACATACATAAATTCTATGCATCACAGAGCTTAGAAAATGAATCATATCAATAATAACTTATAAATATATTTTAAATTAATAAAAAAAGTGATCTTTAAACATAAAAGCTAAAACATACCTATTGCCAATTAGTATAATGAATAGTTTTCCTCATTCTCTTATGCATACCACCCACCTCACTCTCTTCAAAATTTGTCCGAAGTTTTTTTTTTTTGAAAAAAAAAGTTTAGACCTGTTTATTACCAATAGCAAAAATAGCCAATGACCATCTACTAGCACAAGATGTGCTTTTTGTGACCTCAGATTTGGAGTTCTCAAATCAGACTTTAGGCCTGCCTTAAAAATTCAAGAAAATAGGAAAAGTATAATTATCAAATTTATTAAAAAAATCTACATTATTCTTACTCCAATGTTTTGATTCCAAAGTCAACCTGTGAATTATTCTGACAGGAATTTGAATTTGCATTTAAACATCCATTCAATTAGTTTTGACCATATATAATGAGCATTCAAATATGCATTTAATATTAAACTGTAGCATTTTCTAAAATGACCTAAGTATTTTAAACCGAAAAATGAGTCAATGGCTCTTCCGTTTGGTGTTGATAAGACCGCTCAACATAAAATATTTGGGATTGGTCATCTCAACTTACTCCACCCAATGCAAATGCGCCTTTGCTTGATGTGCAAATTCCATCTCATTGCAGATTTTGCGGTTTAATATGAGCTATGATTAACCTCCTTCCTCAGATTCCCAAAACACCCAAAAAAGTTATAATTTTTTTATTTTAGGAAAAGAAAAAAGAGAATTAACAAAAAGAAGAATCTGATAATGGAACTAGTTGACCAAAATCATCTAGCCCTGTCGTCTCTCCCATTCATTGGAGTGGTTCCATCGTGAGGAATTACGTGTGCTGTCTTCTCTCTCTCCTCTTTTTCTGTGAAAGCACAATTCTGTGGAGTCGTTGTCCTGCAAATTGTTGGTTTAGTCTTTGTTGTGTAAAGCTCAGACTCCAACCAATCTGTTTTACGCACAAGCGCGAATGATATTTGGATATAAAATCTGAGATTAGCACACTCCTTTATAGCTAAGAAGGCCAAGTTTAGGCCACTGATTTGTATCAGAATTAATCACCCCACTATCTTTGCTTTCTTCTTTTTTTATTTCCCTGGAAAATAGTGAAGTAATCGTCGTTCTTCTTTGTTCTTTCTGCTTTCTGGGTTTCTTCACAGCTTCTTCAGTTTATGGGCGATCAAAGCTATCGTCTTTTTCAGAAGGGGTTGAAAAACAGAGTATATATTCACTGAAGACGAGAATAAGATGCGGGGTTTGAAGCTCACTGAACGGTTCAAGAGCACTCAAGTTCATGCCCTTTATTCTTCAGACACCAGTGCCATCAGCGAAACCTCTAAGCGAAGTAGATATCGAATCCAATCATTTGGATCAAAATCCAAATCCAGAATCAACTCAATCTCAGGAATTGACAAGAACCTTCCTTTTCCACTACCTTCTTCCGACTCCCTCGAACCCCCCATTGACCCTTACCTTAAACCCATAAATCTTGTTGAGACTTTGTCAGACATATATTCCCGCCTAGAAAATTGCCCACGGTCCCAGAAACCGTTGCTCTGCATCGAACAGTACTCTCTTCTTCGCTGCCTTGGAGACCTGAAGTTACTTCGTCGATGTCTCCAAACAGCCCGAGAGAACGCCGACGATATTCCAACAAAGATTGTGCTTTCGGCATGGCTAAGGTTCGAAAGAAGGGAGGATGAATTCGTTGGTGTCTCTTCAATGGACTGTAATGGGTACATGCTCGAATGCCCAAAGGCCAATTTAGCATCTGGGTATAGTCCGTGTTCGGTTGCAAGTCGTTGCCAGTGTCTCCATCAGCCAAATCAAGATATTATTACGATTTCAGAAGAAAGTGTGAATTTACCAGATGAAGAAAGTGATGTTTCATTCTGCATTGGTCACGAGGAAATTAACTGCGTTCGTTACAAAATCGCAGCTTTATCAGAACCATTTAAGGCTATGCTTTATGGTGGTTTTGCAGAGTCCCAAATGAGAAAGATTGAATTTTCGCGAAATGGTATATGTCCAGAGGCGATGAGAGCAGTGGAAATTTACAGCAGAACTAAAAGATTGGACCTTTTCTGTGTTGAGACTGTTTTGGAGCTTTTGTCTTTTTCTAATAGGTTCTGTTGTGAGGAAATGAAGTCTGATTGTGATGCCCATTTGGCCTCAAGTGTTGGTAATCTTGAAGATGCAGCATTTCTCATTCATTATGCATTAGAAGAGAGAGCTTCCCTTCTAGTAGGGTCATGTTTACAGGTATTACTTAGAGAATTGCCGAATTCTCTGTACAATTCTAGAGTGATCAAAATCTTCTGTAGCTCTGAGGCTAAGGGAAGTTTGGCCACAGTTGGGTATGCTTCTTTCTTGTTGTACTATTTCCTAAGTCAGGTGGCTATGGAAGAAAGCATGGCATCTAAAACAACACTGATGTTACTAGAAAGATTAGGAGAATGTGCCGTAGAAAAATGGCAGAAGGCCCTTGCATTTCATCAATTAGGCTGTGTGCTGCTTGAAAGGAAAGAATATAAAGAAGCACAGCATTATTTCGAAGCAGCAGCTGAGGCAGGTCATGTTTATTCTATGGCCGGTGTGGCTAGAACAAAGCACAAGCAAGGTCAACCATATTCAGCATACAAGTTGATAAGTTCTATCATATTTGAGTATAAACCAGCTGGGTGGATGTATCAGGAAAGGGCTTTGTATAATATTGGAAAGGAAAAGAGTTTTGATTTGGATTTTGCAACTGAATTGGATCCTTCACTTTCGTTTCCTTATAAATACAGAGCTCTGGCAAAGGCAGAGGAGAAGCAGATAAAGGCAGGAATTTTGGAACTGGACAGAATTATTGGATTTAAGCTCTCTCCTGATTGCCTTGAATTAAGGTGTTGGTTGTTTATTTCAATTGAGGATTATAAAAGTGCCTTGAGAGATATTCGAGCATTGTTAACATTAGAACCCAGTGTCATAACATCACATGGGAAGATCAAAGGGAAATACTTGCTTATGCTTCTTATCCGTAGGGTTCAGCCTAAGAGTCTAGCTGACTGCTGGATGCAACTATACGAACAATGGTCCTCTGTTGATGATATTGGTTCTCTGGCTATTATACATCAGATGCTGGAAAATGAACCTGGAAAGAGCCTTCTAGAGTTTCGTCAATCTCTACTTCTTTTAAGGTGAGGCTGTTGTTATCTTTCTTCGACTTTAAATTCATGTTTACTTGAGTTATTTCCTGTCTTGGACCTTCTGAGCATGCTTAAATTGAGGAAAACTGAAACAAATGAAATGTTTCATTTAAAGCAAAATGAAATCTTCTTTCCCTTCTTTTTACTTTCATTTTTGCCAATTCAAAAACATCCTTGAGCGAATGACTGGTTTATCACATTTAGTACTGCTGATATCCTTGTTACTTGTACCTAGATGCTTTGTTCATCTAAGGGCTTGTTGATATCTCTGTACAATGGAATTATTGTCTACATTCAGATGAGTTACTTTTCTCTTTGAATTTTTTAAGGTTAAACTGTCAAAAGGCTGCAATGCGTAGTCTTCGGTTGGCTAGAAACCATTCTAGTTCCATACAAGAAAGACTAATATATGAAGGATGGATTCTCTATGATACTGGCTATCGAGAGGAAGCACTGGCTCGGGCTGAGAGGTCCATTTCAATTCAAAGATCATTTGAAGCATTTTTTCTTAAAGCATATGTGTTGGCAGATGCTAATCCTGACCCTGTGTCTTCTTCAAATGTTATCCAACTTCTAGAAGAAGCTCTTAAATGTCCTTCTGATGGACTTCGTAAAGGACAAGTAAGTGATCTCTGGCTTGCTTCTGCTACTCTTATTGCTCATCAAATATGTATTCTAATATTATCTGATTGCGTGCTGCAATGTTTTGCAGGCGTTGAATAATCTGGGCAGTATTTATGTTGATTGTGGGAAGCTAGATCTCGCGAAAGAATGCTACTCAAATGCCCTTGCAATCAGACACACAAGAGCTCATCAAGGTCTGGCACGCGTTTATCATCAGAAAAATCAGCGTAAATCTGCGTATGATGAAATGACTAAGCTAATTGAGAAGGCAATGAACAATGCCTCGGCATATGAGAAACGATCAGAATACTCGGATCGTGAGATGGCAAAGTCTGATCTTGACGTAGCGACACAACTAGATCCTTTAAGGACATATCCATACAGATACAGAGCTGCAGGTACTTTTTGCCTTCAGTCCATGTTATCTGCTATTTACTTTGAATTGGAGTCAAAGTGGGGATAATTATATCAGATAATGCCATGATGCTCTTGGACTATGCAAATTTTGCTCATTTATCAGCTTTCCTGTGGGTGAGGAAAGTGGGCATCTCAAATCAGATGAACTCTATATTTTAAGTACTTTTGTGTGTGTGTGTTCCAAGGTTCCCTCAGTTGTTTGATGACTACGCTAAGCACTAAACCGTCGCACTTAGTACTGCTGCCCTCATTTTTAACATGAATTGAGATTTTTTAAACTATTATGAAAGGCTAAACTTTCAGTGGCATGATTATAAATTTGCATTAAATATGGATAATGCTTGATTTTGGTTTTTTGTCTTTTTGCTTTTGCATACAGTATAGTGAGGATTCAACTTCCTTGAAAAAGATTTATAAGACAATGAAGTTTTTGCACACTAAGTAAGGAGTTTCGCAAGTGCTATTGAAATTTAAAGCTATACGCACGCTTTTCCTCTGTTTTGCGATTGAATATCTCATTGTAAAGCAGTTAATGCAATTGAAATTTATTCGCTTGCTAAAGTCACTTGAACAATTGCCTGGCAGTAGCTTTTTCATTCAATGCATATCGCCATTTTCTTTATTAAGCTTAAGCTTATTAAATCCTTGGGCAACTTGTTTCCAGTAAGTAGTTCGTTAAGTAGTTGGCTGGATAGATATACCATGCAAAAAGGAAACATATTAGCAAATGCAATAGTAAGAAATTTTATTCTCCTTCCATCCTAAACAAGATCAGAATACATGTGCATATATTGCTGCAAAAGGATAATTAGGAAATAAAAGAATAACTGATGCAAGGCTTTTATATTCTCACATATAACCAGTACTTTAAAACTCTATTTTATGTTCAATTCAGAAATACACATATGACCTTTGACATCACGTATTGTACTGACATCCACTGTCCTTTATGACCAGTTATGATGGATGAGCAAAAGGAAACTGAAGCTGTGGAGGAACTCACCAAGGCCATAAACTTCAAGCCTGATCTGCAAATGCTTCATCTGAGAGCAGCATTTTATGAGTCAATGGGCGATCTAGCATTGGCTCTTCAAGATTGCCAAGCAGCTCTTTGCTTAGATCCAAAACACACTGACACACTTAATCTGTATCAGAGGACACAAAAATCGAGCTAATATTATCTCAACACAAACAGTCAAATGGTGAGAATGAGAAATCTTGATATGCTGAGCTGTTTTGTGTAGAAAATTGTAGGGACATTCAGAATGCTGAATCCCCCCCCCCCCCAAAAATCTCATAATATTCAGCTGAAATCTATACTTGGTGAGGAAAGAAGCGGAGAATATTGATTGTGGGTAGCCAAGCCAAAAAAAGCATGATGACAACATGACAATGGATAGATGAAAGTGATGAACTTATGCCTTAGGAGGATGATTCACGTGAAAACCAGATTTTCATACGAGAAACTAGATTGATATGTATTCTTGTGAGCCATGGCTCGCCAATTACACCCTCTTGTACAGTGACATATTTATAAGCAGATTCAAATATCTATTTCCCCACAAATTTACTTCATTTTGGTAGTTGCATGCTTTCGTTTTTTCCAGAGAATAGACTAGAATAGAATTTGTGTTCCCATGTTTCTGTCAGGGTATATCCATCAAGCACCAGTAGAAAGAACACTGCATCTCCAAATGGGCTTAAGGTAAATATTCATAAAATTTATCCATTTGTAATTTTTCTTGGTCCATTGTACTCAATGTTATTTATTAGCTTCTCAATACTCTCAATCGTTGCTGTGAAAAAAAGAGAAATGAAGGTACTTTGACCCAAAAAAGTGATAAAGAACAGGTTAATAAACAAATACACAACAAATCTCAAGTATTTACAAAGTCAATTCCACACAAGGATAAGCAGTCTCTTCGGCCCTCATTAGTCTTGTTAACGTCCATTGAAGAATCTGAAACAAACTTAAGATGAATGGAGAAAAAATGGCTTTAGAAAATGCTCAATTTAGGGGTTCTAATTTTCAACTCAAGTTTTCTGACATAATTTCTAGCTCTGCCCACCAAAGAGGAGATGATTTTGGTGTAGCTTCATCCGGCTCCATTGCTGTAATCTCCTTCAATGCAGCAGTAACTTCTCTCATAGTCGGTCTTTTCTCTGGGTCTGAATGCAAACATTCTTTCATCACTTGGAACCACTTTTCAATCTCTTCTTCTTTCAAACTGCTTAGAGTGGGAGCCAACACATCAATAAAGGGCTTCTTTCCCCATCTTAGATATTCAGCTGCCCAATCTGTAAGAATTCTGTTGTCCTCAGTGTAGGCAATCTTACCTGTTATCAGTTCAAACAGTACTAACCCAAAGCTATAAACATTTCCCTTTGTATATGCTAATGGTGTTTCCAAGAGCCGTGTGGCTGCAGAAGAACCCCTTTTAATGGAAGTAACAATGTCATTCCAAAAACTAAGATCTGATATTTTTGCAGCATAATCTTCAGTTAGGCATATAGATGAAGATTGTAGGTTTGTGTGAGCAATAGGTGGTGTTAGCTGATGCATATATTCAAGGCAGTAAGCTATTCCCATCGCTATCCTCACTCTCATTCCCCAGTCAAGTTGCTCTGCTTCTCTAACTGCGGAAGATACAAGAGTGGTGTCAAATCATAACTCTATTTGCCAGAAAGGACATGCTAGCTGAGGATAGCAAGTAAAGTTTGAACAATAAGCCACTCACCATGTAGATGTTCATACAGAGTTCCATTTGGAGCATATTCAAAAACCATCATTCTTGTGAACGGCTGCTTCTCCTCACAGAACCCTATTAGGTTGACAAAGTTCTTGTGGTTCACTCTGGATAATGTTTCTAACTGAAATCAGGAGAATGAAAAACGTTATAGACCTAATAGACAAATGAAATAAATATGACTACATTTATTGCTTGGCTACCTTCCTTCTAAATTGGGCTTCCATATGTTTTGACCAGCTTTGAGGTGAGATTATTGCAGTGGATACTACAGCTATCTCAACTCCACTGGAGAGAGTTCCCTTATAAATAGTACCCTCAGGAAGAGTTCCAATAATGTTGCTGAAGTCCTCACATGCTGCTTCAAGCTCTGCTCGTCTGAGACTTGGCACACCTAAATCACATATGCTAACTAAGCATGCATAGCCAACTCATTGTAAATAAAAAAGTAGCCACAGGCTCACAAATAGTTTATTCTCGTCTCCCCATACAAAAGTATTCTCAGCTTGAAATGTAGATTATGAACGAAGAACATATTAATCATATCTGTAATTCAATCCTTGTCAGTATCCATTCTTGTTTTCAACACAAGTTATGGACAGTTTATGCTCTGGCTATCTATACTTAAGCTCAAAAAGATTTCTCTTGAGAGGACATGTTAAATATTTATAATAAAATTAAACAATGGGTATGGAGTTTGAAGTATGTTTCTGATTGTATTCATAATGTCAACGTGAAGCAAAAAGACTGAGTGGTAGAAAGAACTAATTACCTGTAACAAAAGCTTTCTGCAGCTGCCCACTCAAACTTATGGGCCAAGGTTTTACAGTTACAACCTTGGCATTACTAAAGCAAGCAAAAGCAATTGCTGACACCAAAACCAAAAAGGAGAAAACACCAATTGTAGACCAAATTATCAGAGAGCGATGGTTTGGCTTAGAACTCCCTTGGTTTGAAAATGAAGCAGGAGAAGGAGCTGAAACCCCATGGGAATTTGGTGGAAGGGATACAACAGAAGGTGGATTTGCTGGTGATATTTCTGGAGTTGGTGCTATCATAGGGGAAGAAGTTTCAGGCGAAGGTGAAGGTGAAGGTGAAGGTGAAGGTGAAGATGAAGATGAAGGTGCAGGTGAGGGGGAGGGAGGAAGAAAAATGGAGGGAGATGATGATGGTGGAAATGATATGGGAGCTGATGCAGATGGAGAATTTGAGGGAGGTTCAGATGGTGAGAAAACTTGAGAATCTGGTGGTAATGAAGTGGGAGGACTTGATATTTGAAGAAGTTTCCTCTTGTACCTAAGATGAAAACACGTCACATCAAGCAATAATAAACAGCCTGATCAAGCAATAGCAAAGATTTTGAATTCGGGTCCTCCCAGTTTACGAAAGTGAATGTGCAAAGTGCATTTAGGGAAAGAGTGATACAAGAAAATATGCTTATGTATCTGACTAATAATTAGATTGGGGCTTACTTTTTGCTGTCTATATCACTCTAAATGTACGATTTATGTTCTTTCTGTGAATACAGAGAACGTGGGCCGGAAAATTCTGATCAAATTCAAATTTTGACATGGGCGGACTCAAAAAAATAATTTACTTACGGTTCATCACAAAATAGCTCTTGATAGAATGGATGGGATTTCTTTAAAATTCTGACAATCTTACTCTATAAAGAAGAGCCAAGAAGACACATCAGAGATGTCACTTACTTTTAGTTGTGATGAGTGTCTTACCTCAGACTAGATCTGCTTACACATGCTGCTTTTGACGGATCTTCATTTACATGAGATTCCGAAATCATCTTGAGCTCAGATATTTCTGGACTAAAGTTAGCCAGATAATCATTGTGGTCCAAGAAACTGCAATTGAAGTGTAATTATTATATAAGCTACTGAATTGGAACGGAAAAAAGAAGACAATAACAAAGGTTTTGGCATGAAATTGAGGATTTGGTTGACTTACAGGCTAGTCAAGGAAGGATTGGTTTCAAATGGAAATGAACCACTGAAGTTGTTGTGTCCCAAGTCCAGCACTTCCAGTTTCTCTAATTGTGTAATCTCATTAGGTATTTCTCCAAAGAAAGAATTGTTGCGCAGAATTCTGCAAACAAGAAGAGATTGCAAGAAGTTTGAAGAATTTGTATGTCTATAACTGGATCATTTAGTAATAGCAGAATTCTTACATGAATTTGATGTGAGTCAGCTTTGCAATTTCAGGGGCTATTGTTCCTTGGAGACACAGGTCTTTTAGATTCCTGCAAGTTGAATTATTATTATTTTAATGGAAAATTGAAGTATTATTAATCCAAGGAAAATAGGAAATCTACGGCCAACATACATTTTAGGGTTTATACAAACTTTTATCCTTCAAATTTATCCTCATTTTGGTTTTGGTCCCTTAAGTTTCAAACCATAAGTTTTGGTCCCTCAAATTTCAAACAATAAGTTTTGGCCCCTCAAGTTTTTTTTAATTTAAAACATTGGTCCCTATAATCTAATAAAAACTTGGACCATTTTTCCTTTTAAGGAACCAAAACCTATGATTTGAAATTTGAGTGACTAAAACTAGAACCAGAATGAGGACAAACTTGAAAGGCCAAATATTATATTAACCTTACATTTTAAGTAAAAACTCCACTAATAGGATGAAATGCATATGAACTGCCAAAGCAAGGTTTATGAAGCACATTGGTAGTTTAACTACTTTTTTATTTTTCAATTATCCTAACAAATATACTACCTACAATCCTTAATATAAGAGTTAGATGACTAATTTGGGGATATTAAGAAAATTAGTTGAGTTAGTTATTTATCACAAATATGCATTGGTCTTCATAAATTATCCTCTTTAATTATGTGTATTGGAATTACTACTTAGCAGAACCTCTTCCAATCAATAGAGACACCTTAAGGGAAAAAAAAAGTAATGGATCAAGGTTTTGTATTTGAGGCCATATCCAATCCCCAACTAATTCTTATATTGAAGATAGTAGGTAGTATATTCGATTTATATATAATTTTTTTTAAAATAAAGTTATATTGGTGTTAAGTTCAATTTCTCCTCGTCACTCTGAATTTTAAGCTCATAAGTTTTCTTCTCATCTTCAATCCTCTCTCTTTTTCCAAGTCTTATTGATGCAGCCTCTACCAAACACCGAAGAGTGGTGATATTAATACAAAATGGTTCAATACTGTTTAAGTTAGGTACCAAAGTACAAACGCACACTTGACTTTTTGCCATGTGTGCGTCCCACAATTTATGTGGTCCTCTAATGAATGGCACAGTTTGGCTCCAATTTGCTTGTTTGTTATATATTATATATCTCTTAAATAATCCATGCAACTAGCAGCATTATTACAGTTATTAATTATTATGTTGATCAAGCAACTATTGACTGAAGTCAATTTTAACTTGGCCATGGCCGGCCTTGCCAGAACTCATGTTTGCAAACTTACTTTTATAATTTTCACTACAAGGCTCTTTATATAATTTGGTAAAACATTTATATTAAAAAACTCTTTATTTATTTAATACCCACCCAGGCACCCACAATTCATGTATATGCCAAT